CCCCCCCCCCGCCCCCAGGGAGGCAGACAACGGACAGGTCAGCGGCTCAGGCTCCTGAGCGCGGCTCCATCACTAACACTGAGACCTTGGGCAAGTAGCGCAAACGCTGTGGGGGGCCACTTCCTGTTCCGTGGGACTGGGAGGACAGAACCAGTGCGGAGAGAACTGACATGGCTGTGTTTAAAGCTCTGAGCAGCGGTGCCTTGGCACCCAATTCATTCTCGTTTTGTATCCTTATATTTGTTGTCATAGATTTTGGGGTTGTATAAGTGACGTTTCTGGCATCTGCGGGGCGGAGTCTGAGGGACCCCTGAGCGGCCCCGGGACTTAGGACAACATGTTCCTTTTCTGGGCTTCAGTTTCCCTCTCTAAAAAATGGGCGACTGCCCCATCTACACCCACCCTCCGCGGCCAGCGCTCCCGGGCACCCGGCGGGGCCGCGCTCCTCGGTGGGGCAGCTCCCACCGCCCGGGAGGCTGCGCCAGGGGCGGGGCGGGGCGGGGGTGGGGCCGGGCGAGGGTCTGTACGGCCGAGCCACCTGCCGCAGCTCACCTCTAGGCTGTAGTTGCCCCGTATGGCGGTGAAGTCGTCCAGGGCTTCGGCCGCGCTCCCTTCGTCCAGGTTCAGCTCCTGGCACAGAGCCTGCAGCGCCTCCCCGGCTGCGACTACCACCGCCGCCCCCTCGACGTGGGGCTCGTCCTCCAACATCCCCTCAGGTCCTGCGGGCGGCGCACCACAGACTCCAACTTCTTTCTCCCTCCCGGGCGCACTACCCACAACCCCCCGCGCCAAAGCGCGCGAAAATCAGCCACTGCGGAGCGCCATCTCTTCGTCCGTCTGCCTCCGCTTTTCTCCTAAAAAAAAAGTCCATTTTTCCTCCAGAGCTCCCAGCCATCCCTCTTCGGAAATATGACGAGAAGGCTGACCTTGAATCCTGGAAAATCCTGGCCTTGCCCTAGGCGGGCCGTCGGGGCGCACAGCCGGCGGGGCAAATGGAAAGCGGAGGGATTCTTATCCTGCGCGCAGCTGCTGCTGGGAGTTGAAGTCCTTCCCTGGCTTCGCAGTCCTCGGTGTGGCCCTTCGCATCTGGTTAGGCTATTTGGTTTAGGCCGGGCTGGGCTGCTTATAGGAAGGTGGCCTAGTGAATCTTTCAGAGCCTGCCAGCACCTGGGTCCGTAGGTTTCTTACTGCTCCAGGATGTCAAACTTAGTCTCATTGAACTGTGCATTTTGAGTTAGGGACGGAGGTGGGAACAGAAGCAGCAGACCCCTGATGGGGGAGTCTCTTAGGATTCTCCCCAAGACAATGTTTTTCAGCCTTCTTTATTTAATGGCACGCTTGAAACTATGGTTAAACGTCCGTGGCACACTTAAATTATGTCGATCAAAAAATATATATATATAGCGGGATGCGGTGGCTTACGCCTATAATCCTAGCACTCTGAGAGGCGGGTGGATTGGTTTAGCTGAAGAGTTGAAGACCATGGCTCGGCGTCTGTAGCTCAGCGGCCAGGGCGTCAGCCACATACACCGGAGCTGGCGGGTTCGAATCCAGCCTGGCCCCAACAAACAACAATGATGATAACTACAACCAGGAAAAATTGGAGGACAGCCTGAGGAGGAGGGAGAGGAGACCGTGTCTCCATTAAAAATAGAAAAATAAACTAACAACAACAACAAAAAAGCCTGGCATGGTAGGTGCCTGTAGTTCCAGCTACTGGGGAGGCTGAGGCAGGAGGATCATTTGAGCCCAAGAGTTTGAGGTTGCTGTGAGCTGTGACATAACAGCACTCAGAGGACCACAAAGTGAGACCCTGTCTAAAAAAAAAAAAAAAAAAGCACAAGTATGCTTACTGTGCTTTGAACTTCTTTTGAAAATAATTTAATTGGCTCGGCGCCTATAGCTCAACCGGCTAAGGCGCCAGCCACGTACACCTAAGGTGGCGGGTTCGAATCCCCAGCCCGGACCCGCCAAACAACAATGACGGCTGCAACCAAAAAATAGCCGGGCGTTGTGGCGGGCGCCTATGGTCCCAGCTACTTGGGAGGCGGAGGCAGGAGACTCGCTTGAGCCCAGGAGTTGGAGGTTGCTGTGAGCTGTAATGCCACGGCACTCTGCCCAGGGGGACAGCTTGAGGCTCTGTCTCAAAAAAAAAAAAAAAAAAAAAAGAAAATAATTTAATTAATGCTCTTTAATTTTTTTCACCGCACACCTAAGATCTGAGGGCACACCAGCGTGCCGCTGCACACTAGTTGAAACTCATCAGTGCCTAGTGAGTGGTTCGCTGAATGACTGATCTGGAGGACTGGTGAGGGATATTGATTGGCACTGGCCCATCTCATTTTAATCGCTGAAAGATGCCAGCTGAGAGGACTGCAGTAAGGGTCCGCTTTCTCACTACCTGGACTTGAAACTACCCCAGTAAACAGTTATTAATATTTCTAGCGTAAAAGAATAGGCTGAGCATTAGTCAGTCTGAAGGCAGAGTAGATAAATCAGAACATGTCACTCTTTCACTTGACCCCTCTTGCCTTTAAAAATATTTATGTCCAGACTCCTTTCCACACCCTCCAAGCCCCTATGTGATCCAGTTCTAGTTCATTTAACACCCTTGAGGTATTTAATTAGGTTCAGCCTCACTTTGTTTTGAAACCTTGAAAATGCCAAGCTGGTGCTTGCCTCAAGGTTTCTCATATGTGGATCAAACTGCCTCAAATGGTTCGTCACCAGATCTTTGATTGTGTCCCTCACATCATTCAATGTCAACTAAATGTCACCCCCTCGGGCCATCTCTGAGCACTGTATCTAAAATATCTGATCCCTTTCTCCAACAACCCATTTCATTGTTTCCATAGCACTTTACCACTATCTGAAATTATCTTGTTTCTTGACTGGCTCTTCCTACTAAGATGTGAATTACAAGAGAATAGGGGCCTTCCTTATGTGTTTTACTATATCTCAAAGTTTAGATTAGCACCTGGCACATAGTTAACATTTAGTACTTGGTGTGGCGTGTTTGAAAAATTACAAAGCCCTGTTACATGGATGAAGGAAGGAGTCACCAGACAATGGAAGATAGGTCAAGATAGGTTTCAAAGGACCTCATATGCCCCATTAAGAGCCTGGGCATTATCCTCAAGGGAAAGGAGCTGATGATCAGTCTGTTTTGGGCAGGTGCCTCCAGCTGTAGTATGACAGGCACACGGATTGTGTAGGATGGAGACTAGAGGCAGGGAGATGGGGAGCCAATTTAGCCTGAGAGATGGAAGTCTCTGTCTTAGATCTGAAAAGGGTACTGCTGAAGATGGAGGAGTCCCCAATAACAGGTGTCCATCTTCCAAGAAGGTGAAAGGAGATACTGTTAACTAGGATGGAGTACAAGCAGAGAGGTGATAACAGTTTTGGAGCTATTAAGTGCAGGATGCTTGCAGGAAATTTAAATGGAAGCTGTCAGTTCCTAGAAGCCCCTTCTCTCCTTGAAATTTCTCAATCTTTTACATTCTCCACACAGAGAGAGGGGTGGGACTTGTGAACTAAGTGAGCAGAAACTCAGAAGTTTTCCCCAAAACTCAAACTCAAATTAACCCATTCATATGGTACATCTAATTCTGCTACTTCTAGAAAGTAAGCTGCAGTTGACTTCAGGACTATTTTATCCTCCTCCAGAGGGTGTTATCAGCACAAAAGCCTGCCCACAGAATCTCTGCTCATGAATATTTACTTAGAGGATTTGTTATAGGCATTAGGAGAAGGTCTTTCTCCAATGACAAAGGGCTTGTAACAGGTTAGCACCCTTCCTCCTAACTCTCTTCACTGTCCATAAAGACATATCAGGATTAGTGGAGATGAGATAGATGGATAAAGATCCTTTTGAATGGCTCCTTAGTTTTCTAGTTAACCTACTTATGCTTATTTATGAGAACTTCCAGGTCAGTAGAGTGGCCCAAAAGTGGCATCAGCCTAAATATGATGATTTGGAAATGTCCAGGCAGTATCTGAAACTAAGGGAGCAGGTTGATATCATTCAGGGAATGTGTTGGCGTGGGAAGGGACCCAAAGGTAGAATTCTTTGGGAAACCAACATTTAGTGGAAGGGCAAATTAGAGGAGAAAATGAAAAGGACTGGACAGAGACATAAAAACAATAAGTAGTATCTCAGAGGCTGGCAAAGGACTTTAGGAAGTCCAGCGCGCTGCAGACAACCCAAATAGGTTAAGAAATTCACAGAAGCCCTCCTGTATTATCTTTTTTTTTTTTTTTTTAACGTGGGTGAGTTGCTACACACTCCTTAGCAGATTCCAACTTCTATGGCCATGTTCTGCTTCGTCTATTATCTCTCCTTTGTTTCTAGTGACTTTTGCCAGAGCAGTTTTGTATGGCACAATCTGAGAGTAAGCCTGGTTACTGTAGCTGAGGGCCTAATGGGAGGAAGGTGAGAAAGTTGAAGTAGGAAGTAAAAAACTTGCACTTCTCTACAGTCCTAGAGAAGCTGGAAAACTGAATATCATTGGTTAAGAACCTAACTCACAGGGCGGGGCATAGTAGGTCACGCCTGTAATCCCAGCACTCCGGAAAGCTGAGCCAGGCAGATCGCCTGAGCTCGGAAGTTAGAGACCAGCCTGAGCTGGCGCCAGACCCGTCTAAGAATAGCCGGCGCCCACAGTCCCAGCTACTCAGGAGGCTGAGGAAAGAGAATTGCTTGAGCCGGAGTTTGAGGTTGCTGTGAGGTATTGACTCCATGACACTCTACCGGGGATGACAAAGTGAGATTCTGTCTCCAAAAAAAAAAAAAAAAAAAAAAAAAGAAAGAAAGGAAGGAAGGAAGAAAAACCCTCTCTCAGATATTAGCCCTTAAGGAGAAGGTCTTGCTGGAAACATCAAACATATGAGAGAGACGTTAATACCCAAAGATAGCCACAGCAAACAATCTTAGTGAAATTATCCCTCCTGGTTTCTTTTTCTTTCTTTTTTTTTTTTTTTTTGCAGTTTTTGGCTGGGGCTGGGTTTGAACCTGCCACCTCTGGCATATGGGGCCAGCACCCTACTCTTTGAGCCACAGGTGCTGCCTTTTTTTTTTTTTTCTTTTTTGAAGCAGTCTTACTTTGTTACCCTCGGTAGACAGCAACCTCAAACTCTTGGGCTCAAGTGATTCTCTTGCCTCAGCCTCCAGAGCAGCCAGGACTACAGGCACTCACCACAGCGCCTGGCTATTTTTAGTAGAGTCCAGGTTTCACTCTGGCTCAGGCTGTTCTCAAACTCCTGAGCTCAGACAATCTACCCACCTCAGCCTCCCAGAGTTGGTGGGATTACAGGTGTGAGCCACCGCACTGGGCCCTAACCTCCTTGCTTTTCCTCATCTCAATTTCTTCATTCATTTAGAGAAGCTGCTGTTTTCCTTCTTTTAAATAGACCCTATGGAGGAACAGTATATATGTTAGAAAATACAGAGAACTGGAATTAAGAGCTTAGTCTAAATCCTAGCACTGCTACTTACTGATTTTTGTGATCTCTGGCAAATGATTTAACCTCTCTGAGCCTGTTTTCTCATCTGTAAAATAGCCATAACAATAATAGCTAAGTTGCATAATTATGAAGGGAAAAATAACGTGTGAAACTTCTGTACAAATAATGATTACAAATTACTATTTCTTCTACTATTTTCCTACTGCACCAGAACCAATTGACTGTTTTCTACTATTTTCTTATTGCACCGGAACCAATTTAGTTCCATATCTCAATGTAATTTA